CTGCTACTTCTGAACACAACGTTTTTCATTTTACTGAAATGCACAAAACGAGGGCTCCAAGGACCCAGTAACTCTGCTAAGATAGAGCACAAAAAGAGATACTAAACCATGCAGTGAGAGCAAATCCAGTTTTATCAGCAGGGATAACTGCAGTGGTAACAGAGCTTAGACTGAAGTTGAATTTGGCCTTCACTGTAATGCAGAGTTATAATGAGRTAACAATGGGATTGAGGTGATTAACTACAAACAGAAAAAAATCCCCATGTCAACTGTTTAACCCCAAACACAGCAATGCCCTGCTCAGCAAGCTTAGGCTGTTCAATAAATTCAATAGTGAGTGGGGTAACTAACCACTCAGGGTCTTATCTTCCACGTTTTGATTTCTCTCCTTTGTATCACTCTTGCAACTCTAATCTTCAAGCTCATTCAGGGTGGCATGAGCACCAAGTTCTTCTCAAAGCAGCCATATTATTACTTGAGATATAACCAAGACCTTGGAATTGAATTACAGACACTGTTATTGCATCTCTTCTCCAGTCACATATTCTGCATTGTATTTTAGCATGAGAAGTAGTGCTTTACATCCACTCACCCACAAGGATTTTCATTCCTGGGACCCAGCAAGTCCTTAATGCTGCAAATAAAATGTAATCCTTGACTCCCTTACAAGGATCAACCTGCTCTTTTCACTATCTTGAATTTCTCCRTTTTAGTTCTTCATCTAAATAGCAAAAATGTTGTGAAATCAGAGGATTTCACAACAACTGAGAGTCCACAAAAGCAGRATCAGGCCCATTACTGCCTTAGAGACACCCATCATAATCACATCTATACATTAAATTACTGAACCTTATTATCTCTYTTTTTAGAAACAAGTTTTGTGCAAGCATTCAAGCCTGAAGTCAGTGCTTGCAAGGAACTTAGCAAAACCATGACAGGAATGGGATGCCTGGGGAATAGATGATTCTCTCATCTGAAATGCATAATTAGCTTTTGGTTAAGTGTGCAATTAACATTAAAATTTACAATCAAATATGATGGTGTTCTAATTTTACCTCCTGTAAATGAAACAAAAAAAAACCCCTCAGTTGCCAGTGCTACTTCTTTGAATTCCTTCCCTAAGAGGAGAGCTGCTCAAGATCATCATGTCATCCAGGCGATGCCTGATACAAAAAGCTTTTAAAAACATTGTGTATTTGCCTTCTGGACAGCTACACAGCAGGGGGGTTATTTTGGTTTACACTTTTCTGCTTTGTAGTGGTAACTGCCACTCAGTATAATTAGCAGTTGTCATATTTCCGGTTTTAAAGATCCAAAAAAACCCACAGCAATGTTGCTTTGTACCCTCTCCCCAGCTGTGCCTGAGAGCTGTAACACATGCTTGAGACATCCACTACAGCTAATCTCACACCCCAACAGGTTTCAGCAGTTAAGCCACAGAGACATTTTTGTTAATGAGAAGGAAAAACCTTCATCCTAGCAGTTTAATTTCGATAAGCAGCTCCKTAAAAGAAAAAATCATACTGCAGTCCAAATATGCTGCCTCTGTCTGAACATCACAGCCTTTCTGCCTTTTAACCTGAAATTAAATTAAATCTCTGCCTTTTACAATGGTGTTGAAAGCAGCTTCAACTGTAACATCAGCTGCCAAACCCTGTATTTGGTTATGTTTRCTATTAATCACATCAATGTTTGTGTGTTATGTGTGGTATGTGCAGAAAAAAGCAGAGTCCCTYGTGTAAGGTGCTGCACAAAAGTATAATGAAAGTGTAATTAAATTCCTCACACAAAGTAYGTATTGTGTGGTGTGCCAGTGCTGAGGTGTGAAGTGTTTTGGGCTGACCCCTGCTAATGATCATTCATCAGTTAATTTCTGCTACTGTGCAAAGAGTTCATGTAATGAATCTGGACTGGGCCAGCACGAAGGACCAGAGGTTGCCCCTCAGTAGCTCCCCTCGATTCCACATTGCTCAGGAGTTCTGCTGTCATTTTCACCACCATTATTCCTTATCAGCAATAGGCACACAAATGCACAGAAAGGAGAAAAAGAAATCTCACCTTGCTCTTACCTAAAATTGAAATCACTTTTATTCATTCACCCTGCTTCCATCTGGATCTGGACAAAAAGTGGCCCTCTCTAGCTGCTAGGCAACCTGAACTCTGCATTAAGTATTAACTGTTTGCATTTGCTAAGAATATAATAATGTTACCTTTGAGATTTATTTATAATAAAAAACATACCTAGCTGAAAAGACAATACTTTTCCTTCAGTAAACAGTAATTAGCAACTCTGGGAATACAAAAATGTTAGTCAAGAAATGCAGAGAGGTATTATAAATTGGCTCCTTACAAACCAAACATAAGGAAGATGCTTCATATGAAAGTATTATTACAGATGGCAGTGGYACAAAAAAAATCTAATCTAAGAATTGCATTTATGTAGATAGGTAAACAGCTATATGATATATGACTATATTTATGTAAATAATGCTTTTTATTAGATACTAAATTATTGAGAYTCATTCAACTACAAAATTGATGTTCTCAATAAAGTTCATTTATTCCATTTACATAACATCACCACTCCTGAACAAGACAGAAAATTCTTGAAATTAAAACACAGCCAACTGATCCTAGCATTCTTTAAAGAMAAGRAAAAAAAACCTACAAAACATTATCCCTCTCTGGACCATTTTACCGTTTTCATATGCAGAAGCAGTGTTGTCATCCTACCTTAAAAACATCATGAATATCTTTGCTATGTCCCATTCCTCTCAAGCTAAAGAAATACTCCTTTCAAGTCTTTTCAAAACAGATCATTTCCCAGACTGCTTAGTCACTAGCACAACTGATAGGGCTCTTACTAAAATATGAATTTGGRTGATTGAGGCGTTAATGTCAACAAAGCAAGAGGCCCACTAATGACACCAAAATTAAACAGAGGAGCACTCTTTTCTGATTCTTCCATGTGACAGCTTGTCAAATCCTGATTCACAAAATACAGACTTCCTGAAACAGCACAAACACAAATTTAAGATCTCTGGCTTTAAAACCCTCATCAATTTCTGCTAGAGGAACAAAACCATGAGACAGGCCAGAGAGACATTCACTGACACAGCTGTCAGTCTTTATGTGCAGCTGCCTGGCACTTGAAGCAGTGTGAATTTTTCTGAGTTTCAAGATAACATAAGTAACTGCACCCAAATATCCTGTTCTTCTGTTCAACACAGGCAACGTAGAATGTCCCACTGATCATGGATGTCCCTGGATCACAGCACAGCAGCAATAACTTCCCTCTCACCTTGAGATTTGCWGAACACAGAACAAGGTTATTTAGCCCAGCCCTTGAGCACCTCCAGTCTGCCACAGCTGCACTCACTTCAGAGCTCCACAAGCACCCCTGAACTGAAAAAACCCTGGGTCTGCAGAGAAGAGAACACTGGAGGTTCCTAGAAGTGCTTTTCTCTGGATTTTAAACACACTTGAGGTGCTTCAGTTAAACACCTGTACCTTCTCCTTCTTCACTTAGTTTCACATTAAACCTGATTCAGATAAGGCTTAATGCCAAGCCTAGGAGAAGCATAATTTTTAAGAATGTCAACATAACTGCAAAATTTTAAGCCAAAGCAAAGGCTTTAATGCAAYCACACTCACAGAAACTCAATAGCCACAGAAAATTATTTTAAAAGGTAATTGGAAAACAGGATGGTAAAAAAAAACTCTTCCTTCCTACACATAGAAACCCATAGTTTTGGTATGTTAATGGACCCTAGTATTACTACATGTACTCTGGAGAACACACTGAAATTACAAATATAATCTCAGGACAGGCAGGAGATAAACAAGTTCAAAACTGTGGTTTTGATAGAGGTACACAGTGTTTTTGTTAAGGTCCTTGAATCATGACTCATGTCAGGGATCTGTGCAAAAAGGGAAAAGAACAGAACACAAGTTGCTCTGGAAACTGTCCAATACTTACGTGAACCTTTTATTAAAAATAAATGTTAAATCAACAGTGTTGTTGGTAACTCCAATATTACAGGTCCTATACATAGCACCCTCTGAGGAATCCACCTGACATCTCTTTTCATAAGGAGTTTAAGGTTATTAAAGYCCTTTTTGCCCCAAAGCCCTCTAACAGATTTAATTAAGATTATTGCTTAATTCACATTAATCACAGTATCTTTCCAAAAAACCCTAGGATTTTATGTTGTTTTCTGTCTTGCTTTTACACAATTTCTTAGAAAATTTCATGTTCCAAGATTCAGAAAAATCAACTAAATGGAAATCATCTTTAGTTGGTTATAGGGCCTGAAGTAAAAACATTTTTATTGCCAAAACTCTAAATTAAATCAAACAGTTTCATGTCAGGTGACCTACACTGGTTTCAATGTCAGGATTTTACAACACAAAAAGGTTCTCTTATTAAATAATTTATTGTACCTTCTACCCAGCAACACAGAAATAAAATTAATCATTTAGTTGTCGTACCAAAACCAAAAAGTCTCATTTTAAATTCTCACTATTCAAGATCACCACAATAAATAAAAAACCCAGATGTGATTACTGTAATTTTACATTTAAATGCAATTATTAAAGAAWAATTATGGATCAAGTGTATGCAGATCAATTAGAAAACTAGGCTCTCAGGTGGGGCAGGAAYTGGGTAGAAATGGGCTGCTGAGCAGGTACATGAGTTACAGAAGATAAAAGTATGTTATGCAGAGGACATAAAATGATAGTGTGAGTTACATGTAGAGTTCACTAAAATGTAGAACAGCTGCTTAGACCACATCTGGACACCCACCAGCTGAGTGAGACAGCAACACACAGAGAATTCCTTCATCCTTACTGCAGGGACACAAAGGTCCAGCCATTCAGAACTTATGAATAACAAAAATCTACATCAATCCAAAAATCTACTTTCAAACAAGCTATTTTCTACCATCATATCTTTGCTGGAATTAAAGTAAAGCACTTTAGAAAACACTGGCACTTACCCAGATCTGCAGCTTCACCCTCTTGTCATTCCTGTAAACTGTTTTCACTTTGAAGTCAATTCCCACTGTGCTGACGAAGGCYGGTGTGAAGGTGTCATCGGCGTATCTGAAGAGGAAGGATGTTTTACCCACACTGCTGTTGCCAATGATCAGGAGCTTGAACATGTAATCAAAATTTTGGTCTGAAGTATCCTTCTGCCTGTACCTGGCATCTGTTACTGAAGCCATCTAAGAAAATGACAAATATGGAAAAAGAACAGATTTAAGAGCAGTTCAGCATTTGTTTTCCTTCACTGTGTACCATATGTTTAGGTTACCTCTCTACTTTCTAATGTCATAACCACTACATCTGCTGAATAAAGACAAACACACTTTGAAATCTTCTTTGAAATCCTAGCTTTAAAAGTTTGTTGTTCAGTCATACTGGTAAGACTTCCAAACCCAAGAAATAMACCTGTTGCACTGCTTTGTGTTTAACAGAATAACAGATGGCCATTGCAGATTGTTCACATACTCATGGGGAAACAGCATTCTTTACTCCAGTGGCAGGGTGCCACTTCTGTTGCTCCAATAAACTGCAACCAAGGACTAWAATCTTTGACAGTGCATCCAACCATGCAATTCATCAAGCAGCCTCCAAGGTAAATAAACCTAAACAATTCCTTTTATGACTTCTATGGAAAATCTGCATTTCTAGTGCAGGCATCACCACCATTTTATCCTTAGAAAAGTTTGGTCCTCAACATTTACAGAAGGAAAAAAAAAGGCATTGTGAAAAGATAAAAAACAGGAATGTCAGTTGGAAACTGAATCCATCAAACACCTCTCTACTCTTAAGATGTAATTGGAATAAACAGCTCTGTATAAAATGTGAGGACTCAGTGGGGGTGCAGGCAGCATTTGCAAAGGATAAATTATCCCTTTCATATTCAGAAACAAAAAGACCAGCAGCAGAATATGAACTATCAAGGGCCATTAGCAGCCTTGGTTGCTCAAATGTATGCAGCTCAGACACTTGGTGGGAGGAGGCAAAGCCCTGACTTTTCATCTCTGTACAGAACACAACTACACRGACCAAATTACTACAGACGACAAAAAAGAAAGTTCACCTTTTAACAGATATACCACACTTCTAATCTCTCATGCTGTTTGAAACTACCCCACATCTAACAAGTAAAGGTCTTGACTCCTTATAACCAGTCACAGGGTTGGCAAATTGGGGCAATGACAGCACTGGTCTAATTAACAGCTACTCATCCAAACCAGGGCCTGTGCTACTCCTGTGCAGTGTCAGAAGGCACTGAGCAGTGACAGAAGTCTCTCCTTCACCCAGCATCCACAGAAGYAAGTTAATTTGCTCCTACACTCAGATTCATAGGCACTTTCGCGAACAAAAATCCCTCCAGTGTCTACTCTCAGCTCATGCCCAATTACTTTGCTTCTAAGCAAGTCTCACCTGCACATAGGATTTCACCCACTCACTGAAAACACCACCACCAAAACCCCACAAATTCAAACAAAACCAAAACAAACAGGTCAAAATTCACAACTATGAACCAAAATGCTGTCCCAAGGCAGTTTAAATAGGGATGATAATTTAATTTAAATTCCCAGCAGAGGGGAAACAAAACAAAAGCAACTCAGTTTAGACTTCAGTACAATATGCACAACRGCTTATCTCTGATTAAACACATGCAACTTTCTCACACAGAGAAGGGCTGGTGCAACAGACATTTTGTTCATAAATTGCATTCACAAGGGCAGTTTCTGAAGAAATTTATCAGTAGCTCAATAGTGAACAGCTGCACTGAATGCAACAAAATCTTCCCACAAGTATTTCTCTGTAGGATACAGCACAATTCTGATACACTCTCTTCCGAACTTCAGCTGCTCTTCAGGCAGACTACACAGTCTTTTGCAAGCATTCCAGAAAACACAAGCACAAATTTTCTTCTCATTAGTGCATCAGAAAACAGCTCTTCTACCCATGTGTTGTGGTTCATAACAGGAATTTCTAAAATGAAGAATTTAACAACTGACTAACTTCCATGCACACACTCAGGCCAATGCACTCACCACCTCCTTAACATTAGAAATCTCAGCTGCAAAAATTATGAATCAGGTGATTAGCTGATTTGTACTATCACCACACTGGATGACATAAAATTCTCTATTTGAATAATTTAGCTTCCCCATACACATTATAACCTCCAYAAATGCCACTGAGAACACTTGTGCTCTTGCTAAAGAAGAAAAAAAAAATTAAAATCTCTACTTCTCCATTCCGCTCACACAGGCTTGAAATAATGAGAAACCCTCATCACCTGAAGCCTGGTCTTTTAAAGATTCAGAGGCAGACCTTTAACAAAGATGTATTCCACTAATCATACAGGAATCAGTATCTTYTTTYTYCCCCTGCCTTCCCACAATCCATCCACACACTCCAAGCTGATCTTTTAACTGAAGCACTGCTGCCTCTATTAACCCTCCTAGATGGCTCTAATCAGAATTGTACCTGGCTACAAATGTGACTTTCAGATCTCAGCTGAAAAAGCAATTACAGAATGTGGCCAGCTCCAGCAGCTTTGTTAGAAGCACAACACAGAGAATAAGATCAAATGATACTTGCCCAGAACGCGGGGCTGTTGTCATAGAAGCACAACCCTCGCTGGCCTCTGTGCTGGCTGAAGATGCTGCAGGTCAGTGCCTTGAATCACCAGAGGCAGTCAGAGCACAAAAATTTTAAAGAAAACTCCATCCCCTTGCTTAAATTTGACTTTTCCCTTTCCCCTCCACTCAATAGAGTCACACAGAAAGGACTTTCACACTAATTTCTGATTATCCCTCTGATGGCAGATCATTACTGAAGCTGTGCTCCACCAGCACTTGGGCTGTAAGTGTTCACGGGGCTGCCCCTGAATTTGTGCTTGAAATCCGAAGCCAGGAAACACCAGACTTTTCTCCCGGTTCTCCTCCCCTCCCTTTCTCTTCCCCACCTGTTGACCACTCCTGCTCCAAGCACTCCCTAGTCATGTCAGCCCTGCAGAGAGATTCCAGTTAAAAAATAAATCCTCCTACAGCTTCTCCTGTTTTGCAGGGCTGTTTGTAAAGTTGGTTCAGTTCCTGATCCCGCACAGCTGAGGGAGCCCAGCAGAAGGGACAGAGCAGTGGGAAGTGGTGGCAGTTGCTATGCTACTGAGAGAAAGGTCCATGAAATCAYGTCTCCTGCAGGCCCTCTGCACCTGGAGGAGATTCTGCAGCACCAGGAAACTGAGACAAACGCTGAGGTCATGCAGCTCCTGTCCAAATCACCCGAAGGCTTGCACAGCCACTGCTCCCAGGGGATTGTCCTCCCTCCTTGGCTCAAGGCTGTTCAGCTGGCAGTGTAACCCCTGCTCCCTKGGCACACAGCCACAGATGCTCTTTTAGGATGACTCCAAACAGAGCAGCACCTCTGCTGTYTCACACAAACACACAGCCCAGGGAGAGTTCTGTTACAGAAGACCAGGTCAAACACAACTGCCACACAGAGGGCAAAGGAGAGGCTCAAGACTGGTTCCATTTCAACTGCCCTGAAACAACCATCAATAAGATACTTATACAGGAAAGGTTTAGCTACATTACATAAAACCCATTACACAGGAGAGGGAAAAGCTGCCAATCAGGTTGTCCTTGAGAGCACTTCAGTATGAGACCTTGCATCATTTAATTCTTTGCCTGGGTAACACACTTCTTTGTAGCTAAGAGCATACTAATATTGACAATCTTTTTTCCCCAAGTGCATTAGCAATGGGAGCAAGGCCTCAAATATGCCACTTCCAACTAGTTTTGTGGGAATAGGCAGTTTTGTAGCTCTGAGATACCTTATTATTTCCCTATTGAGGAAAAAGCCTGCAGTGTGAGCTCATCTTTTATTAGACAAAGAAACCACATAAGAGCAGGATGCTGCAAATGCTCTAAAGCAATAAAATCTTAATCAAAGCTTATTAGCCACCAAAGAATATATTCCTTGGTCAAGGTGGCTCCCCTGCCTTTAGTTTCTATTTTGGTCTAATGAAGTTTAAAAGAAAAAATCCTATTGCCTTAAGACACCTCMATGAGAAACAAGCCTTTGCTGGTTTTAGTGCTCACTGAAATGTGTCATATAGATGGATCCACACAGCTGTGCTCCTCAATTTGTGACCAGCATCATGGTGAACACTCAAACTGGTTTGTAGTGCAACACAAAGTGTTCCTGCTCTTAGGAATCACTGCAAATGGTCACTATAACCCCTGCTCTGCAGTATTTTCTGCCTAAAGGTAGCTTCAGTAAAAGTCATGAACTGTTTAAAGTGTTGGCTAGAAATTAASTGATGTCTCTCACCATTAATTTATTGCCAGAAAAAAAAAAAAAAAAGAAGCTAAGGCTGACTTAATGTTGCCAACCCTTATGGTTTTGGCTACCAAAAAAATGGAGGGTGGCTCTTCTTCATCCTCTCACAGACAAGAAACAAGAAACCCAATCATTACCTTGTAAGTTTAGAGGTCTCTTTATTAGCAACCACATTGGTGTGTTCACAGACATGCTCTTTCCACGACCCATTCCCTCTCACAAAGTGTGAGAAAGAAGTCTGAATTTGAACAAGAGTCTCCTTTTCTGCTGCCAGTCACCCCAGTTAACCATGAAACATGGTCACTCTGATGCAACTTATCCTTCAAACTATGCCCTAAGACACATTTGCAAAATCAAATTGTTATGAACCCATATATTTTCTGTATTACAACTTCTGGGCATTTCTAGTTCTCTTTTAATGTTTCATTTTTAAAGCCAAAACTGGAATTATTCATTATCGCCTACTAACATACATTTCTTTAATTAGTGTGAAAACATTCCTCTATATTTCTACAGTAACCCAGGAGAGGTGTTACTAATGTACAACATAACTTCTTCTCAAAAGCATTAATACTTTGTGTATTTTTTTCCCCARAAATAGTCTTTAAAAAGTACATCTAAGCTTAAAATATTCTAGTTCACAAATTACACATCTATGTCAATTTTCTATTATAARAACTCCTTTATGCGCTTTGTCATTGGAAAATAAATACTTTCTGGTGTCTTTTCCAGAAATTAAGTTCAATTCTGAACCAGATTTCTATCAAGCAATGGATTTTTTTACAGCCAATGTGTGCCATCCTAAGAATAAAGCTCATAAAGGAAATAAGGCCGTGACCTTAGAGAGTCTTATACA